CCGAAACCAGATGGCTTCACTGATAAATTCTATCAGACATTTAGGGAAATAATAGCAAATCCTTCCTACACACAGAAGAAGACGGAATACTTCCCAACATGAGGCCAGTATCACTTTGATACCAAAACTAGAAAAATATTAGATGCAAAAATAGTAAGAGAAATTTTATCAAATCAAATCCAATAATATATTTAAAAGGTAATACACCATGACTAAGTAGCATTTAGGAGCTCTGGTAGCGTAGTGGTTACGAATCGGGCTGCGAACCTTCAGGTCAGCGGTTTGAAACTACCAGCTGCTCCGCGGGAGAAAGATGAGGCTTTCTACTCCCGTAAAGATTTACACCCTCGGAAACCCTGTACAGGGTCGCTATGGGTCGGAACCGACTCGACGGCACTTAACAACAACAACAACAAGTAGCATTTATAGCAGGAATATAAAGTTGGTTCATTGTATAAAAATGAGTAAGTGTGATTCATCATTTAACAGCAGACTTAAAAAACAAAAAGAAAAACTACCTGATAAGACTCAATAGATGCATTAGAAGCATTTGACAAAATATAACATCACCTGAAAAAAGTCTTAGCAAACTAGAAGTAAACCAAATCAAGCCCACCAGCATTGAGTCCTTTCCAACTCAGCAGCCCTGCAGGACAGAGAAGAACTGCCCCAAAGGGTTTCTAAGGCTGTCAATATGGACAGAAGCACACTTGCTACATCTTTCTCCTCCAGAGGAGCTGGTCAGTTTGAACCACTGACCTTCTGATTAGCAGCTTAATGCTTTAACCACTGCACCACAAGAGCTCCCTATAAATCAGGAGTGGAAGGAATTTATTCCATCTGATATAAGAGCATCTACAAAAGATTTACAGATAATATCATACTTGGGAGTCCTGGTGTGGTGCTATCAGATAAGCACTGGACTGCTAACTGCAAGGTCAGCAGTTCAATCCACCAGCTGCTCGTTGGAAACCCTATAAAGGGTCACAATGAGTCAAAACAATTGAATGGCATTTAACAACAACATCATACTTAACAGCAAAAAACTAAATGCTTCCCCTGTAATTAAGATCAGGAACAAGACAGAGATGTCTGCTATCATCACTATTATGAATATGTTGCTGAATGTTGTAGCCAGTGTGATAAAGTTGGACAAAGAAATATAAAGCATCCAGATTAGAAATAAAGAAAAAAATCTGTCTTTACTCACAAATACCATCATCATTGGATGGGCAATATTGAAACATTTCTAGAGCTAGCATATGATCAAGTACAGATGGTACTGAAGGACAAAGCCCAAGCTGCACTGAAGGCATTGGCAAAAAACCAAGGATCCAGGAATTGGTGGAAGACAAACTGAAATCTTTCAACAAACTGATGCAGTAGTGCCAACTGACTGCAATAAATTCATGTGTTTAACCCTTTCCAAAGACAGGTGATCCAACCAAATGCAGAAATCGAGGAATGTCATTAATATCGCATGCAAGTAAATGTTTGCTGAAGAGAATGCAAAATGATTGCAACCATACATCAACAGAAATTCAAGCCGGATTCAGAAGAGAAAGAGGAAGTAGGGGTATCACGCCTAACGTCAGATGGATCTTCACTGAAAGCAGAGAATACCAGAAATGCATTAATTATGCTTTCCTGACTATGCAAAGGTGTTCAATTGTGTAAAGCATGACAAACTATGGATAACATTGTGAAGAATAGGTATTCCAGAACACTAAATATGCTCGTGAGGAGCCTGTACATAGATCAAGGGGCAGTAGTTAGAACCGAACAAGTGGAGACCGAATGGCCTAAAACCAGGAAAGGAGTGTGTCTGGGTTATATCCTTTCACCATACTTATTCAGTCTGTATGCTGAGCAGACAATCCTGAGAAGCAGGGTTGGAGGAAGACTCATTAACAACCTGCAATATGCAACCTTGCTTGCTGAAAGTGAAGAGGCCTTAAAATACTTCCTGATGAAGATCAAAGACCATGGACCTCAGTAGGAATTGCATCTCAATGCAATGAAAACCAAAATCTTCACAACTGGACCAAGAAATAACATCATGATACATGGAGAAAAGATTGAAGTTGTCAAAGACTTCATTTTACTTGGATCCACAGTCAACACTCGTGGAAGCCACAGCCAAGATTGCACTAGGCAAATCTGCTTCTAAAGATGTCTTAACATGTTCACAAACAAAGAGATCAGTTTGAGGACTAAAGTGTGCCTTACCCAAGCCATGTTATTTTCATATTTCACATATGCATGTGAAAGTTGGGCAATGAAGAAGGAAGACCACAGAAAAATGGACGCATTTCAATTATGGTGTTGGTGAAGAATTTTGAAAGTACCATCAAGTGCCAGAAGAACAAACAAATCTGTTTAGGACAGAGCCACAGAGGGCTAGAGCTGACAGTAAAGCATCCAGCAGATATGAAGTGAGGGGAGACGCACAAGAACACCCAAATTTGCAGAAAGTACCCATTTGGCCTAGATTTGATGTCTTGAAAATCAGAACTTGACTAGAGGAAGATAAAAAAAAATTTTTTTTTAATAAAGGAAGCAAGCGTAAATTGCTACAATTTTTGAACTTGACCCATACTTATGGATGCAGCAGCTCAAAATACCAACTGAGAGGAAAGGAGTCTTCACATGAAGTATCATTCATATCTCCTCTGTAAACAGGGTTGATAGGGACGGGCAACTTAGATGTTGGCTACCTAAAATGGGGGGGGGCGGGGGGAGGGCAGACTATAAAGGCACAAAGTTACTGGCTTACAAGTTTTCAAGAGGGAGTTTAGTTTAAGAGTGTGCAGGGGAAGGTAGTAAGGTAGAGTCCCCACTGAATAGTTTTCATCTTGTCTAGACTGGTCTGGTGAGAAGAGATGGGGATAAGATTCTTATGATTCAATAGTTAGTGAGTAATTGTTATCATGATTAATTGCGACTGTCATTAACTGTAAAGGTAGAAGTTTTGTAACAAAAAGAAGGGAGTAGTTAATCTTACAGTCCAGGAACAGAGAAGTCTAGGACCATCAAGGGAGAAGATCATGACCAGAATGTGGGACCCTATCCACAGAAGCAGTGACACCAGAGATGGAGGCAGAGATGAGGACATGGGAAGAAGCAGCTGATGACTCTAGATTCACGGAAAGAAAAAGGCTGTGTGCTGGTGGCCAGGAAGCAGGCTTGCAGAATGTGTCCTTTGGTTGTTTAAATGATTATATATTCCTGAGTGTTTTTGTGTACATCCCCCCACACACCCCCCAAAAAAAAAAACAATGCAGAGGGAATAGAAACAAATACTGTTGGATGATGATGCACAGAGGAAACTAATCATTGCAACGAAATGATGAGTGTAAAACTGATGTTCTCCCATATAAACTATTATTCCATTCACCAAAAAAAAAAAAGAATGTTCCTTAGAAGTGAGGCTGATGAGACTTTATTTCTCGTGCCTTGGACATATTCTTAGGAGGGACCAATCCCTGAAGAAGGATGTCAATTTGGAAAAGTGGAGGATCAGTGAAAAGACTCAAGGAAGCAAACAGTCCAAAGGACTCATGGCCCATGCAAACCACAGCCTCTTGTAGCCTGAGACCAGAAGAACTAGATTGTGCCCACCACCAACGACCATCCTAACCAGGGACATACTAGAAGGTCCTGGTTAGAATGGAAAAAAATGTAGGGGAAAAAAATTCACATTTATGAATGAAAGACCAGGCTTGCTGGACTGATAGAGACTAGAGGAGCCCCCCAGACTATCACTGGAAGGTCCCTTTTTAACCTGGAACTGAAGCCACCCCCAGAGGTCACTTTTCAGTCAAATAAAAGATTGGCTTAAAAAAATAAACAGTAAGGCATGTGCTCATTTAAACCATCAACTGCATGAGACCAAAAGGTCCACATTCACCCATTGCCAAGGTGAGAAACCAAGGAGGGACAAGGAAACAGGATGGATGGAAACAGGGCAGGTGCGGTGAAAATGGCCACATCGCTAACACAATGCAGGGCTAGCAACCGAAGTCACAGAACAATCTGTATATTCTTATCTGTGCGTGCCGACATGAAAAAATGACACATAATAAGTAAAACATAAATTCTAGAATAATAGTCACATCATGTAAAATGCGTGTTTACATTATATATATGTATGTGTTGTTTGTTGTCTTTAAGTGTTGCTGAGTCCATTCCAACTCATAGTGACCATGTATAGGGTCTCTGAGGAGCAGCTGGTGAGTTTGAATCACCACTCTCGTGGTTCAAACCAACCTTGCAGTCAAGTGCTTTCCTCCAGGTAAGAAGAGGAAATGAGGAGTTACCGCTGAAAGGGCACTGATTTTCGATCAAAGGTGATGAAAAATTTGGAAACAGTGGTGACTGATGGTTGGACAACATGGGGGAGCATAATTAATGTCAATGAATTGTACACACACAAAGATGGTGAAAGGGCAAATGTTTTGTTATATATTTTTTCTTATCACCAACAACAAATAAAAACAATTAGCCGGTTTAACAGCTGCTAGGTTTAATGACTGTGAGGCTGGCCCAGGATCAGGCAGTGTTTCGTTCTGCTGTGCATAAGGTCACTATGAGTCGGTACCAACTCAATGGCACCCAACAACAACAACAACAACAGACAAATTTAAAGGTACAAGTCAAATTGACTTATTTTTATATATGGAAAAGAGATGGAGTCTCGTGTTCAGAGAATACTTCCCAATGGTAGAAAAAAGAGGAGCACAGCCTGTGATCCCACTGGGCATTTCAGAGTCCATAACACTCTCTCTGCTCTCAGCCAGTTAAGACTCACTCCCTCAGTAAGTCCCCACAATGGATGACAGCTGGAGTCTATTCCCCAGGTATGCTGAGACAAGCAAACATCAAGTGCGTTGGCAGACCAATAGCCTTCGTTCCGATTTTCCATGGGGATAAGGAACATTTGTGGCTGGTGTCGGAATCTGGCCGGGCTTCTGAGCCCTCAGTCCACAGGGTATCAGTACCTTGGATAATTCTCTGCTGCTGTTGCCGGATGTCATCAAAACCTAAGCCTCTTGTCTCCTCTGGCTCTTCAAGGAGCCAAGGGTTGGGCGCTCCTCGCTTGGCTCCTCCAGTCATGAGGCTGGGCCTAAAAGCAAGATGAAAGGTGTCACATATTACAACAAATTTAGCTCCATTGCAAATTATTCCCACAAGTGCAGAAGTGGCTAGCCTCAGAGACTTCAAAAATCAATTCAGTCATAATTTACCACCTTCTTAGTTTATGCCTGGAAGGGTGTCAGCACTGGACAAGGTATTAGGATGGATATGGCACAAGCTTGGTTCCTGAGAGAATTCTGGCCTGCTGAGGAATCTACAGCAGCATCTATATTGTTTATGAATCTGTACAGGTACATTTGAGTCCATCCTTACGGAAGACATTGACAAATTAGGTTCTTAAGTCTCAAAAACACAAGAACGAATGAAAGTGGCCTTTTTTAATAATACTGAGGCGCTCTGGTGGCACAGTGGTTACAAGTCAGGCTGCTACCCTCAAAGTCAACAGGTGGAAACTACCAGTCGTTCCGCAGGAGAACAATGAGGCTTTCTGCTCCCATAAAGATTTAGAGGCTCAGAAACCCTGTGCAGGGTCGCTATGAGTCAGAACTGACTCCAAGGCACATAGCCACCACCAAGGCCACGTGACACCAGGGGTAACAGTCTTATTTCTCAAGCAGACACAATGTTGTAGCTACAGACTGTAGTGTGAGAAATGACCATATAATTCTATGCTTCGCATGAAAGGGTGTTTGGCTGCTCCCGGCAGGCTCTCAAATCTAATTTCATGAATACAGCATTCACAATGTAATAAACATTCATAAATTAATTGTCAATCTTAATCTGTACTCCGTCTATAACCCACATGCCCCTTCCATGCCCAGCATACTGGTCTCCTCACAATCCAAGGAAGAGGGAGTCCACACTTTCTGCCTCAGTTTTCAGGAAACCTGTGTGATAGAATTTTCATTTAGCCTGTCTCCTCTCCTGTGCCCATCTGCCCAGCTCCAAGGATCATCTTATCCATGAAACCATCTCTGACCACTTCAACCCTGAAAGGACACTTTAGATATCTCATGTTGTTGTTTTTTCTAAGGGCCATTGAGTCAGTTCAGACTCATTATAACATATAGGGGTTCTGCGGCTGTAAATCTTTGTGGGAGCAAAAGCCTCATCTTTCTCCTAAGATAACACATTCATTATATACAGACACCGCTTTCAGTGATTTTTTTTAAATGCACTTATTACTCACAACTCAGCTGCTTTTAATTTTTCAAGTCTTTTTTATTTCTCCCGTATTGTATAGAAATAACTGTTGCCTTAAAGTTTAACCTCTTTTTTTACATAGACAATCTTTCTGTTGTTATTAGATAGAAGCAGGAATTGAAAATTACCTTTCGTTCATCATGGGGTGACTAGCTCAGCGCATTCCCCTGACTCCTGGCTCTACCCCCTATCAGCAATAACTGTAGAGTGACATCTATGGAAATGGTTGCACTGAGGATTAAACAAAGTAATTCACTTACTATGCTTATCAAAATAAGCACTGACTGAGCACCGAACGTGCTGCCAGCATTGTTCTCATCAACAGGGATAAGGAGAAAAAGGGAGTGCAGGTCAGAGACAAAAGCCCCTCTTCCCTTACAAAGCTTACATTCTTGTAATGGGGACTGCTTTCATTTTGGCTGCGGGACTAAGGTGTGAGTCGTATGCAAACTGCCTAGTGAACTCAGAGCTTGAAAGATAATGGTTTAATAAATGGTAACTATTGTCATTACACCAGATGTTAATTTAACACTGTATGCACGGAGGGCACTGAAAAAATTATTTTTGAATAAAAGGAGAATAAAAGTCCCCAAAAGATATATCAATTCCATTTTTAGTTTAGAACAATCAAAGCCATAGAACAACGTCATATAGATGAATAGACAAACCCAGGTAAAACTGAAAGAAAAACTTTGGTTCCTTTGACCAGGAGTGAGGAACTTTTCTCTTTTTTTCCTACCAAAATTTTGTATCACTCACAGGATACGAAATTATCAACTTAAAAAATTAGCCTACTATATTTGGTTGGACATTTAATTAACTCATCCTAATAGAGTCCTGGTGTGGCGTTGCAGGCTAATGCGTCAGATTGCAAAGTCGTTTGAACTGCAAGGGCGGTGTCAACTGCTCCTTGTAAACTCTATACAGGGTCTCAATGGGTCAGAATCGACTTGACGGTACTTAACCACAACAATGGAGTCCTGACAGTGTTTCTCTGCTGTCCATAAGGTTTTCAGTGACTAACTATTCGGAAGTAGTTCGTCACTCCTTCTTCCTAGTCTGTCTTCATCTAGAAGCGCATCTGAAACCTGTCCACTATGGGTGACCTTGCTGGTATTTAAAATACCGGCGGCATAGCTTCCAGAATCACAGCAACTCAAAAACCACCCAAGTAGGACAAACCGACCAACGTGTGGTGGCAGACTAAGCTGTGTCTGACCCAAGCCATGGTATTCTCAATAACCTCATATGCAAGCGAAAGCTGGACAGTGAATAAGGAAGACTGTAGAAGAATTGATGCTTTTGAGTTACGGTGTTGGAGGAGAATATTGAAAGTGCCATGGGCTGCCAAAAGAACCAATAGATCTGTGTTGGAAGAAGTGCAGCCAGAGTGCTCCTTGGAGGCCAAGATGGCCAAGCTTCGTCTCTCATACTTCGGACATATTGTCAGGAGGGACCAGTCACTGGAGAAGGATATCATGTTTGGTAAGGTGGAGGGTCAGAGAAAAAGAGAAAGACCCCCAAGCGAGAAGGATTAGCAAAGTGGCAGCATCAATGGGCTCAAACGTGGCAATGATAGTGAGATTGGCCCAGGATCAGGCAGTGTTTTGTTCTGCTGTGCATAAGTTTGCTATAAGTCAGTCTTGACTCGATGGCACCTAACAACAACAACAACAATGCAGTCCTGGTGTGGTGCTGTGGGCTAATGAGTCAGACTGCAAAGTCGTTTGAACTGCAAGGTTAGTGGTTCAAGCTCACCAGCTGCTCCTTGGAAACCCTATACAGGGTCGCTACGGGTCGGAATTGATGCAACAGCACTTAACAACAGCAACAGTGTGGGTGCAGTGGTTCAAGCTCTGTCAATGAACTGTTGTAGCCGTTTTGGAATTCTCCTTCAGAAAATGTTATTTGCATGTGATATTATTGATATTGTGCAATGATGTCTGCATGTGGTTGGGTCACCTCTCTTTGGAATGTGCACAAATGTGGATTACAGTCAGGCAAATCCTATGGCGCTTTCTACTCTGTAACACATGGGGTTGTCATGAGTCAGAACTGAATTGATGTTGACTTTGATTTACAGGTGGCATTTTTCCTGTAAAATTAATATTGGAATATATTACTGGTAACTCTTGTCACACAAAAACAATTACTTTTTTAAAGTTAGCATTAAGGAGGAAAACAAATATAAGAAATGTTTAGCACAAAATAAAATAGGATGAAAGTAAAGCTAATGTTCTCCCATGTAAACTATCACATAATTCACAATAAAAACTTAAAAAAAGAAATGTTTAGTGATCTCAAAAAATGAATTAATATGACAGGCTTCATATTCTGTTGGTAAGTGCTATCAAGTTGCAATAGACACATAATGAGCCTGTGTAGGGTTTCTGAGGCTGTAAATCTTTGTGGGTGCAGAAAGCCTCATCTTTCTCCCATGGAGCAGCTGTAGCTTCGAACCACAGACCTTGAGGTTCACAGTCCAGTGCTTATTGTACAGAACAGTCTTGAAGTTGGGCAGAGTAGGTGATTAACTCTTTGGATTGTTGTTGCTAAGTATCCTCAAGTCAGTTCCAACTCAAGGGTTTCTGAAGCTGCAAGCTTTTGTAGGAGCAGAAAGCCTCATCTTTCTCCTGCAGAGTGGCTGGTGGGCTCCAACTCCGACCTTGTGGATCATAGACCAGTGCTTACCCTACAAAGCCACTATGCTTCCTTTTAATTTTACACTTACCAAAGAAACAACTAATTAGAGGAAAACGGGGGCAACATGGGCACAATTGAATATTGAAAATAAACACATTGAGAAGAAAACTCCAGACATAGAGGAAAGAGTTCTAGATACAAAGGAAAACTGGAAAGAATTTAAGATCTAATGCTTGCTTTTAAGAAGTTTATGATTAAATTAAAGAGAGACTAACCCACAAGTAGCAATTACTAGCTAACATAAGAGAACAGCTCATTTTGTATCCTTGGGCCCTTCAGCCCTGGTTTCCTCACTCAAGCAGAGGAACAAGGGTGAGGACAGCGCAGGACCAGGCAGTGTTCTATGGCTCAAGCTGCTATGAGTTGGGTCATTATGAGTTGGATGGCCAGGAGTCTGCTCAGAACCAACTCAACAACACCTAACAACAACAAAAGGCGTTATTGGTTTTCAGCCTTCATTCTGGCCCAACACTCATTAATACCAGCAGGTCAACAAGGCACCAAATGGGGGTGAGTTGGGAAGATTCATCATGTTGGTGGTGGGAGGCAAGTTATCTGTTTTTAATCTTGCATATTATTTCCATCTTTACTTAGATGATCTCTGAGACCTTTTGAGCTTTAAGATGTTCTCATTAAGCACTGCTGTTGTTAAGGGATGTTAAGTTGGTTCTGATTCATAGTGACCCTGTATAGGGTTTCTGAAGAGCGGCTGGTGGGTTTGAATTGCTGACCTTTCAGTTAGAAGTCCAGTGCTTATCCTACAGCACCACACCAGGACTTCCATTAAGTATTTAAACCGTATAAATAAGATCAGCCCGAAAAAAGGATCAATTTCCCCAAAAAGATCATTTCACTCTACCTCAGTTTTCCCTATTCTGTAAAAAAAACCAAAAACCTACCACTGGCCCATTGGCTCAGGCCCCAAACTGTGGAATCATTTTTGCCACCTCGTTCTTTCAAACTTTCCAACACCTAGTCCATTAGCAAATTCTATCAGCAATACCTTCAAAACCTATCTAGAATCTGACCGTTTCTCCTTGAGCTTTGTCTCATTTCTGCGTCTACCCTCTGCGGTCTATTCCCTGCAGAGAGGCCAGAGTGATCCTTGTACAAAGAAATCTT